TTGTGACAGCCTAGCATATTATCATCCTGTCTCTTATACACATCTAGATGTGTATAAGAGACAGCCCATTAAATATCTTTATAATGAACAATGTTCCCCTGATTAGATTTTTTCGGGCTTTTGGTATGTTATTATTTGTATATTTCAGGAACGGATTCCGTAAAATATTTATGTTAAAATTACTTCTGTGTTCATTATAATTTTGTCTAAAGATTTACTAGTTCGACTATAAAGCTAAGTCAGCGTAAAACTGAAAAATACTCAGATTTTGGATTCATTTTTCAAATAGTTAACCCTCGTTAACCCTAAAATGACTTTAGATTATTATAATCCTTAATCATTTATTAATTAATATCTGTTAAAATTAGAATTGGTGAATTTTGGCCAATTTATCAAAATTGAAGTTGAAATATACTATACTTTTATAGGTCATGTAAATGTTCCATTAAATTCGAAACTTTTCTTGGTGGAAAATATTAATATGTTTGATATTTTATGAGAGATAAATGTATCAGCTTCAAAATAGAAAAGATTGCGCAGCCATACTGATTGACAGTATGTAGTGCGCATTGAGAAAAGAAGGTGCTCTCCATTTCGTCATGTTCAATTTTTTGGTCAACTATGCCTGCTGAAAATTTGATGGCGGGGAACACACGGGACTTCAAAGGCATCGCGCAAACGTTCTTTACGCACTGCGGCAACTTTGATCTTGGTTTATTTGCATAGCGCTGCGTGCGCGTAGTTTTGCCGAGTGATCTCCTTCTCAATAATACCTCCATGGTTACAGGTAGAGCACCGCACAGCAGATAGCACTGCTAGACCTCAGCTATAGAAACAGTAGACAACATACACTGTGTGACCTTGCTAATTACTGTAATTACTGTACTGTATATGTAAACACTGAAATAGCTTTTTAAAACTTAGACTTGTTTTTAATATAAACATTTCATGTTTTTTCCATTTTAAAATATTTGTGCTCGTTAGTAATTTAGTTTTACCATTGATTTAATCCATGATGATAACTACGTAGAGCTTAATGCTAAGCCTCTGAAAGTCCCCAAGTGGTAGTTGCCAAGTTATCGCAAATTTCCATTTCAAATTTTGTGAAAATGGTCTATATATTTACAGTGTAAATGAAGAAATACCAGTCCTTGTTTAGCCTCACTGTGAGATGATATTTATATATTATATACTATACATAAATAATATATATTTATTAAACAAATGATGTTATAAACACACACTGTATATATACAAGTACCTCTTTGCCGTTGATTGTGAAGTAAACTGTTCGGGTTTCTTCATCTTTTGCATCTTCAGGAAACTTCACACCACATCCTACTTTGTCTCCTTTCTTACATGCCTCATACTGAGTTGCCTCTCCCTTATAATGACTAAAATAAGATACAGATATTTAATGCTCTCACTGAGCTTTGCTGCCCTCAAGTTAGACAAGTTTCCACAGAGTTACTTTTGGTTTTCAGGTACTTGCAAGAATTAGCACTGGGTCTGCGCAAGAAATAAACTGTAATACTGTGTCTATTGAATAAGATATAAAGGAAATGAATATTCTACTTACACTGAGGAATCAGTGACATTGTAGCCTAGCGATTTGTCATCAGATCCTAATGCTGTTCCTGGCTTTTGATCAGGTGGGGACAAACCAACACAAATTGATGGCACTTTCAATGGATTTGACAACTCAACCTAAAGAAAATCATAAAATACAAAAATAAAAAAGGACATTTCATGTGTAACTGTTATCTCTCTGGGGAACATGTATAAAAAACTTTAAAATGCAGGAAATTTAATAAGAAACATGCTTATACAATGCAGTGATAAACACAATTTTTATATGCTTTTATTTCTTTTTTTTAAGGGGGGGTTTTATGATACAAAAATGTACATAAATATTATGGTATGCTTTATTTATAAAGTAATAATCTACACTACTTTAATACTTACTGTATTTTGAGTTTTAATTCTATATTCTATATATTGGAGCTTAACACATTATTATTTAAGCGACACTTTTGTTTTTACTTTGTTTAAGTAAACTTACTGTATGTTTTAAAGATCGTCAGAGGAGTTCGGGAAAAAAAAAAATAAATAAATTCTGTTTTCTATTTAGCAAATGCTTTTGTCAAAACTGTCCAGGCAGAGCAGAAAATAAAAATAAAATGTTATTGTTAAATGTACAGTGTAGTAACAGAAGTGAATCCATATATATATCTGAAAGGGAAATTTTTGTTTTTTAAGATGCCCAGAAATAAACTTCCAGGCATTTTGGGTGATCAATAATTTCTTTTTCTTTCTGTTTTTTTACATTCCAAAAGGGGACCCCACCCCAATCCACCTCTAAGTAATGGGATTGAGAAATGCTATTAATTAAGGATGGAATATAGATACTATCTTATTTTTGACTTTCATTTATCTGAAATTCCTACTTTTTGTGGCAATTGGTTTTCTAACTGGTCAAATATACTATTATATTTCTATTTGAAATCATCATTATTGGCAGACAGAGGTTTCGCTAAACAGGTATAAAAAAATGGTTGCCTTAGCTGTGCTTACCTCAAAGTAGCTATTCCCTGAAGAGACGGGCATACCATCTACAAAAAGCCCTTCTCCCTTACTTAGCAGTGTGTTTTCTACACGCAGGACACCATAATACCGTGGCCTATTGGCTTCACGGTCCATGAAGCGTCCCATCATCCTTGCCCTGGATAAGTGCTCGTACTGCAGTCCAAAATTCATGCCCCTTCTTTCTCTATCCATTATCTATTAGGAAACTGCCTCTACAACTTTGTGTCTGTCTATCAGCATCCTCCAGACCTCAAATTGGCATGTTAAAAGGTATGAAGAAGAGGTCCTAAAAAAAAATATGCATATATCATTGACTAAACCAATAGTAATAGTTCTGCAGTGATGAACCAATGAGAATGATTTCAGAGTTTGATGAGAACAAAGTACGAATCATTGTTTTGATAGAGTTTTTTTTGTGTTAGTGTAGTCTGGATTTTGTTTAGGGCTGGAGTGTGATTCGGAACTTCTTTATTTCTGAATAAATCATCAACCAATCAGTTAAATTTTGCTTTATGTTACTTCTTTGATGTCCTGTTATATTATACTTTGACAAAGGTGCTGTAGAGTGTGTTGTATAGGCCTAGCCTAATTTACCCATCATCAAAATTCATTCTTGAAAGTTATTTATTACACACTTCTGAATATGGACCAGCAGCAGTCTATATTTACTTCCAATAATCTGGACGAACCTCATAGTACACTATATGAATCAGGTTGATGTAGAAGTAGAAACCGGAAACTGATTACACATTCCTAGCTACTACTAGCCTAGCTACTGTAGCTTAGCCTTAGAAGTATTCTACTTACTACTAGGCCTTACCTAGCTGGGCCTAACAACTTATATAAAGATTAGGAAGGCCTGGCTCTTGAGGGCCTTAGCCACCATTGGGCTACTAATAATACTGCCTATGGCTAGGCCTAGCCTAGGGCCTCCTACTACCTAGGCCCGAGGCCTAGCTAGCCTACTTTAGGCCTACAGGCTACTCAGGGCCCGGCCCTACTACTGTCTCAGTTCAAGTGGTATGGCCTAGGCCTAGCCTAGATGCTCTTTTGGACTAAACTTATATAAATAAAGCACGATGAAATGAAATAATGTCTAAAAGAATAACCCAAATTTACGTTTTGCTGCCCTCCACCACAGACACAATAAATATTTAAAGTTTAATTTCTATTTTCAACACCACACAACCCGACTAGCCTAGGCTACTTCTTCTCGCTACTTGCCTCGCTCTCTTCTCTCCCTCTTTTGCGATTCCGATAAAAGATGTTCAGGTACCAGAGATCCGGCACGACATTTATTAATAGAGAGGAACTTCAGCACTTCTTCATTTACATTCGATTCGAACATACCAGACACAGCGGTATCAACAATAAATAAAAAATAATGGATAAATTATGTACTTAACCGTGTAAACTTATTAAAATAAATATTCATTTGAAATACTGTACCCGGTCCTAAAGCCCTTCATTAGCTTTCTGGCAACTAATTTATGTCAAAGTTGATTATGCTAATTATTGGTCGCCTTGTGAACAACAAACGCCCAGCTCATTTATTTCTGTATCAAAATGGGGTGCTTGTTTTCAAAACCAAATGTTGAAGGAAAGGAGGAACAAAATGAACAAGAATTTAGTTGGTAAGCATAATAGAAAGTTATTGCATTGTTTTAATAATAATATGGCTTTACGGTAGCCTAGAGGAGGCAGGAAAGGATCTTATTTAATTCTAATACTTCTAATGCTGCAGCGGATCCGAGCTCAAGTCTAGGCCTAGGCCTAGTAGGCTAGGCTAGGCCTAGCTAGGCCTAGCACTGCTGTAGAAAGAAGCAGGACTCATGCCTAACTAGGCCTATTCCCTGGACGACGTCGCTCATGTTGTAGGGAGCCACCTGTCACTAGCAGCAGCAGGATTGGCCTACTACTATATACCAGCCTATATAGCGAAATCAGTACAAAATGGCAATTAGTGCCTAGGCTACAGTAGGTAACCAGAAAACAAAACAGCAATAAGTCAAAAAGGCAATCTCCAAAAAACACTTAAATTTTAGCCACTTTTCCATTTCTGTTCCGATATAAGTCAGGAGAAATTTCGCCAATTCAAGCGATGTGAAACTGATGCTGGTGGAAGTACATTATTAAGTGCAAGCCTACAGCAAGAATCATGCCACCAGCTGAAGACCCAAGACCTTCAACTCCACCGCAACCACTACAATTGATTGCCTATAGCTCAATTACCATTGTCAGCTGGCATGCAGTCACTAAAGCAATGGAATGTCAAGTTAACACCAAGGAAAATAGAACTGCATAGAAGGAATGACAACTTAAGTCAAAGAATCAAACATTTAAATGAAACATTAAAAGAAACCATACATAGGAAGATGTTTGCTTAGTGCAAAACAAGTAAAAAACAAATATGTAGCAGCAGGAAGTGAAAAGATTAAAGTCAAGACTGGAGAAAGAAAAGGAAAAGGTTAAAGTTTATGTTAGAATCTGAACAGCTATTGCTAGGCTTTGATGCGACCACACAGGAGAGGGTACACGTCATGGTGTTAAGTCAGCTCGAAAGATGACAGCAAGGTCATTGCTTTTGGTGAATTGGCAGGTGGGACCCATGTAGACTATCAAGTGCAGATAGACGACAGCATCACCAACATGGCAAAAGTTTACTGCCAAGTACACGAAAAATCTCCACTTGAAATCCGTTGTCAATTGATCAGTAAAATCATCAATCATGTGCAACCAAGCAGCTGTAAACCATGCCACCTTTCAGTTGCTCGAGAAAAAATGATAAAAGTGGTAATGAAGCCGTGTTAGTCTAAACAATATACAAAGAACATAGTCAATGCCAGCTTCATCATGAAGCTGGCATTGACTGCCAGCGAAAGCTTGTGTTAAATAAATAACATCTAGCTGGAATTGACTGCCAGCGAAAGCTTGCATTAAATAAATAACATCTAAGTTAGTCTCAGAATGCTGCAATTTAATTTTCTTTGAGAAAGAATGGAAGACAAAACTGACTGAAGCTAAATTGTCACCTCCACCCTCTGGAATTGATTGCCAAAGACTGTAATACAGCCTTAACAAATATTGAAAAATAAACAGGAAATCAGCTGAAAGACCTTTACAGGCATGGTTGTATCGGCCAACGTCTTGTCAACAAACAAGATCAGGTACTTGGATTGTGGAAGGGTGATCCCAGAGAATTTAAGAATGTTTTGAAAGGAGGAGGCACCACAAGGGTTTTTATACAAAGGTACCATGGCAATAGACTTCATACTTTATCCTGTTCCATATTGCTTAGAGATTTTTCACCGAGTAAAAGTTTATCACCAAGCTTTTCAAAGGCAATTTGAGTTGTCCAACCACATGCCAAGCTATGAACATTCTTATCTCAGTGAATATGGTAAAAGCGAATTGCAAGTCCTTGGATAGATTTGGAAATCAGTCTCTTCTCCTTGGGACCAGGTTTTATGTCGAAAAGGGTACTGAATTACTGTAAGCCACCTTGAAGCATATACCATCATAAAGTCAGTGGAAGAAGAAGTCAAGAAGTATGAAGGCAATCCAACATTACATTATCCACCCCAATTGCTTTGGAGTTATGCATTACTTGATGACGTCAAGCCCCTTTAAGTGCCACCAAGCAATAAAAAGTTATTCTTAGCAATGATGGGGAAATGAGCTGCTATAGTAGTATGAGCTGCTATACCAAGTCATATCTTAGATGGTAAGTATGCTACTCTGGAGTATGTCAAAAGAGCTGGAGCACAAGACATCATCTGCTTGACTTCATAACATCGAGGGTGAACAGATGATGGGTACCATATGCTCCATTTTTGGAGGCTTCAGTGTGGCGCTTATTCGAGAGCAGCAGTTATTTAAGAGCGGCGCTTTACAAGAAAAAATGGCGTGGTGCTTTCGATGCCTGTTCTCATGTTACATATCTTACATATTCTCGCAGTTCGGTAGGCCTAGGTCCTAGTCATCATAAATAAATGTTTTAAGATATGCTTGTATCTTCATTGTGTAATTTATTCAAATAACACTGTCTACATTATATTGGGGAATTCCACGGTAACTGACATTACATTTCATCCTTTATATTCACATTGTTACTCACTTTATATTAAAAATAGGGAAGACCTACTTAATTTCTTCTTGCTAGAAGGGAGTGAAATACAGGAATACCAATTTAAACTTTTTACCAATTGAGGTACAGATTTAGTGAACGAAATGAGTGCAGTAACTTATGTTACATAATTTAGATGCGCAAAAACTAGGAATTAAAAAAAATTCCAATATCTTACAGTATGTCCGAGAGACAGACAAAACTTGAGTTGTATATGCCATGGAATACTGTGTTAGTATACTAGAAGTACATGGGTAATGATTATAAATTTATCAACATTTAATTTATCAACAGAAGCGTAGAGTCGTAACATGGGCCATTTTTGCTAAGAATGTCCAGATCAGGTAAAATTTCTCCATTAACCTCATGTATATGAGAAAATCCCTTTTTGTAATCTCATCTGCAAAATACAGTTTATATTATGTTCGTAATAGTAATTGTTTTGCTTCACCAAGTCAAGATACAATGTTTTTATCTTTTAATTAATTATCATGTTCATGTTCTACTGTAAGCATCATTATAATGGATGCCAATTTTCAATTTTGTATGTTATTATTGTCGTACACAACCTAAAGTTTGAAAATTGTTCATAAATATTCCTATATTTCAGTGCAGTCCCCTAGAGCAAATTGCAGTTAATAAAATCATATTTTTCAGACACATTCTTTGATAATCAGTGGTGGACTCAAGAGGGGCCCCCCCCCCCAATAATTTCAACATTATTTTTTTTAAACATTGAGAAAAAATTAAATTATTCAAATTTAAGTCTGAGAATGTCATTTCCGGCCATCTAGAGTTGCCATAAATTTTCTTACCTCCGCCCCACAATGGTGGTGCTAAGATGGTATTGATCCCCATCTGTAACAATCCTTCCCCGGGCCTCCTTTGTTTTGAATTCCTGGATCCGCCATTGAATACTGATATTCATTCACAAAGTTGTCGACGTAAAGTGTAATTTGCTAATCAATGTCATTCCTCAGGGACAAGAGAAAAAGCGTAGACCCAAATGACTTCATTATTGATAAGAGGAATGGGGAAACAATTGTGAAATTGCCTGGTACAGTCGATGGGCAGCAGTTTATGATAATGAATTGTGAGGTAAGCTTAGTAACTATTGTTCTATCATATATTTACAAACTTATGCCTGCAAATTCTTATTTTATTTTTGTAAACATTTTATTTTTTAGAGTAATTTCTGTAGTTGTTTAGGTACTGCTTTGTTTTAGCGTATCACAGCCTTGATTTGACAAATACCACATGCAAAACTTTTGCCATTGATTCTAAATTCCAAATGTTTTTTTTGGTCGTTTTAATATTTAATTGGGAACATGTGACTTAATTCCTGGAACTTGTCGATTTTTGTATTGATAGTCAACAGTGAATCAGGGGTGAATAGGATGATATTTGCTGGGGAACATAAAGTACCAATTCACCTGCCGTACGAGCCGGAGGGTTGGGTGTTTTCAATAACGAATATCACTGTCCTGTAGGTGACAATTCCTTACAAAAAAAAAAATACACACATGATGCTTAAACTAAATCTTAATATATGGGGTTAAGGAGTGGAGTTGTTTTGGTTGTTGAGAAAAAATTCTGCAGCATTGACAGGATTTGAACCCAGGACCCTGTGAGTGGAAGGCAAGCACCTTAATCACCAATTCTTTCAACTCCGCTCCTAATCCTATTAAGCTCCATAGTTTTAGCCATCTCGTAGCTAAATGATTTTACACTGAAGTGGTTAAATATTTATTGACTATTACCATACCTGGAGGGTACATAACCACTGTTTGATCCGCCACTGAGAATATTTTACTGGTGAGATGATTATATATTTTCTTAATAATGTCAATGCCAATGTAGTTTATGTTTTTTTTCTCTTTATTTTTCAGAGTTCTAATATTTATATTTTTAATCATCTCAACACAATTACTGTTGACAAATGCACAAACTGCAAAATATTCTTAGGACCCGTCAAGGGCAGGTAAGTTGTGGTCTGCATTTTAATTCTTGTAACAGGTCAGACATAAAGTTAAAAACTTGGTGTAATATGGCATATCAGCTTTATAACTGCATCTTGAACACAAAGTCTGATTTATTCACAAACTCTGCCCTTTCCTAAGGGTCACTTTAGTCCCAATCAACCGATAAGTGAGCTTTTGTCTGTCCACATCAGAGGTAAAACGGGCCACACTACACCAGAATAACCTCATACTTATCGCACTACTAGGTTGCTATGGCTTTTTTTAAGATGCACACAAGCCATCTATTGGCACTGGCCCTAAAGTTTGTGAGTCCTTTTCCAAAAAGTCTAAGTATTGGCAACTGAAACCATGAGTAAAGATTGACATTCCAATCCCAACACATGCCAATTATAACTTGCATGTAAATTGCTGTAGATAATTACCATAAGGCTCAACCATTATTGTAATTTATGAACACCCGTTTGGTTTTCCTCTGACATTCTCACATACTGTATGGCTGAAAAATGTTTGACTTTAACAGTGATTTGAAGAGAACTGTTGTTTCAACATGGTATGTGGCCGTGGTATCACAGACAATTTCACCTAATTATTTATTAATATAATTTTGCCACCAAAAAATTTTTGTATCGGATTTTATTAGTCAAAATACTGTACTATTTATACTCAAAATTAGTCTTTGTTACGAATATCACTGTCCTGTAGGTGACAATTCCTTACAACAACAAAAATACACACATGATGCTTAAACTAAATCTTAATATATAGGGTTTAAGGAGTGGAGTTGTTTTGGTTTTTTTTTGGAAAAAATTCTGCAGCATTGACAGGATTTGAACCCAGGACCCTGTGAGTGGAAGGCAAGCACCTTAACCACCAATTCTTTCAACTCCGCTCCTAATCCTATTAAGCTCCATAGTTTTAGCCATCTCATAGCTAAATGATTTTACACAGAAGTGGTTAAATATTTATTGACTATTACTGTACCATACCTGGAGGGTACGTGACCACTGTTCGATCCGCCACTGAGAATATTTTACTGGTGAGATGATTATATATTTTCTTAATAATGTCAATGCCAATGTAGTTTATGTTTTTTTTCTCTTTATTTTTCAGAGTTCTAATATTTATATTTTTAATCATCTCAACACAATTACTGTTGACAAATGCACAAACTGCAAAATATTCTTAGGACCTGTCAAGGGCAGGTAAGTTGTGGTCTGCATTTTAATTCTTGTAGTATAACAGGTAAATGACAGACATAGTTAAAAACTTGGTGTAATATGGCTTATGTATCAGCTTTATAACTGCATCTTGAAAAAGTCTGATTTATTCACAAACTCTATCCTTTTCTAACGGTCACTTTAGTCCCAATCAACTAATAGGTGAGCTTTTGGCTGTCCACAACAGATGTAAAACGGGCCACACTACACCAGAATAACCTCATACTTATTGCACTACTAGGTTGCTATGGCTTTTTTTAAGATGCACACTAAGCCATCTATCGGCACTGGCCCTGACGTTTGTGAGTCCTTTTCCAAAAAGTCTTAGTATTGGCAACTGAAACCATGAGTAAAGATTGACATATTCCAATCCCAACACATGCCAATTATAACTTGCAGGTAAATTGCTGTAGATAATTACCATAGGCTCAACCATTATTGTAATTTATGAACACCCGTTTGGTTTACCTCTGACATTCTCACATACTGTATGGCTGAAAAATGTTTGACTTTAACAGTGATTTGACGAGAACTGTTATTTCAACATGGTATGTGGCCGTGGTATCACGGACAATTTCACCTAATTATTTATTAATATAATTTTGCCACCACAAATTTTTGTATCGGATTTTATTAGTCAAAATACTGTACTATTTATACTCAAAATTAGTCTTTGTTAAAAAAAATTTTTAAATCACTCAAGTCACATTGATTTGTTTCTTAATTCTTAATGTATCGTTTCTTTTTAAAGTTTTTAATACATGTCAAAAGAATTAAGTGAATAATATTAATAATAGTTTACATTTTTATTATATGCCTATTTGGTGACAGTATTTTAGTGTGCCTTTTAGTGTCTACTAGTATTTTTTTCTTGGTATATTGTCAACAAATATCATATTATCAAAATTTTAAAGCAATTTTCATGAGCATGCTTCGTATGTTTTTCTCGTTATGTAAAAAGTGATGGTATTCTCAAACTGAGTGTAAATGTAATTTAACCATTTTGAAAATATGATTATAATGACATGCATCGATAGAGCAAAATCAGACTTTAATAGACTGCAGGTGAGAAATAACTGTCATCCAACATCTCTCGTTTCCCTTCTTATATTATGTTACTGGAATTTGAGGATAGTACATCCCTTAATTTGTATCATGGTGGTATTGTTTATACCTTCATAGTATAAACAGTGGTTTAACGATTATTATCATTAAACATTATTATCATCATGCTTATATCATCTTCATCGTCATTGCCATACTCATTGTCATCATTATTAATGTACAGTATTATTGAATTTGTTATTGTTCAGTGATAGTATCCTTAATTTGTATCATGTGGTATTATTTATACCGTCATAGTATAAACAGTGGTTTAACGATTATCATCATTCTTATCATCTTCATCGTCATCAGCATACTCATCATTATTAACGTACAGTATTATTGAATTTGTTATTGCTAATATTATTTCTGCATTATTAATAAGATACTGTAAGATAAGATATATTTATTCGTCCAATTTGTAACATCAGAAAATTGCTTTCCTTTGGCATAGAAAACAGTAAAAATAGTAATAAATAGTATAGTATAGTAATAGGGTTTATCATACTCATGTGTTTATGATAAGGCCAGCTGTTAATATTAAATTCTTTTTGTGCAGTGTATTTTTGAGGAACTGTGAGAACTGCCAATGTGTGATAGCCTGTCAGCAGTTTCGCACAAGAGACTGCAAAAAGGTTGACACATTCCTGCATTGCGAAACACAGCCTATAATAGAATCCTCAACCAGAATGCGGTTTGGCTGTTTCCAGTACTATTATGAGCAACTTGCAGGTATGTCAGATGGTCAAATAAGATAGGTGGCGCTATTCAAATTAATTTAAACAGTTAATTATATACATGATCATGATCGCATAATATTGAAAAGTCTAATCAGATAATAAGAGCTCATAAACTTTTTCTAATAGAATAAATGAAAAGTGACAATAAATGGAAATAATGATTGATGATGAAATGATCATGATTATGTTGAAAGGATGATGTTTTTAAGCAAAATCTCTGTTTCTGTAACATAGTTAATTGCCTTTGTTTTTGTTTTTTCATATTCTGTGTTAAGAGAAGCTGAATAAATACTACATTACATAACATTAAAAATGTTTGAGGACATTGCGGTTGAGTAGGTTACTGTCAAGGAGTGATAGGTAGTAATTATTTTAGTGCAGTTTCTCAGCAGATAATTCAATTTATAATTAACGTCTTTTTTGTAATTATTATTGTGTTAATATTGTTATTATTAATTATTATAAAAAAAATATGCAGCTTATAAAAATAGTTAAACTAATAACAAGTATAATAATACAGTAGTTTTAATTCATTCATTTATTTCAGATTTTAATATTCATAGAAGATAGGATTACAAAAATAACCTTTACTGATGAAGTTTGTATGCATAAACAATGTAATTATTAACAAAATCGTACAACTTTCCGTACACTACGTATAAAAATAGAGGAGAATGATGGTCAGAGCAATCTCACCGAAACGTTGAGACAACCAACCGGTGGTTTTATCGCAAAAATAATATTGTGCTGAAAGTTTATGATTTTCTTTTAATTTAAATTTGCCATGCAAACCAGAAATATAATGTAATAATTATTGGCACTAGAGAAATAAGCTAATTATAATATGAAAGCTATATATTGTATTATGAAAAATATAACACAATATGGTGTGAAGTTATATGATTGCTATTCTTTCTAAATAAACCAGTTATTATGGTTTATTTACAAAGAATAACAATAATATTACACAAATTGAAACCAGATGAAATTATTTGATCATGGTGTGAAGTTTTTTTCTTGGTAGTTAAGATGCTTGCCTTCTAATCCCAGGGTCCTGGGTTCAATTCCTGTAACAGCAGGACTTTTTTTCTCAACTAAAATCAACTCCACTTCCTAAAGCCTAATATTAATAAATAATAATTAATAAATAATGATAATAATAAATTAATTAATTAATATTTATAATGCATCGTCCATCCTGTAATTGGTTAGGTATTTGCTGTTGGATGTTGAATGAAATAGAAAAAAAAGTATAATAAACTTTTATTGTTATATTTATCATAGTTTTAATTTGTATTCTGATATTCATATCATTTTAAATTTGTAGTTAAAACCATCATAAATATTAAATAATAATAATAATAATAATAATGTTACCATGATGAATAGATAAATGATAGCCTCCTTGGTGATGTCAGGATTGTTATGTAAGAATAGTCTGTGTAGTCTAGTTTAACTTCATTGTTTTTTTATGGTAATTATGATATTTGGTACCCACAGCTCAATTCCGAGGAGCCGGTATAAGTCCATTCAATACGAATTGGAGCAATATTCATGATTTCACACCTGTTCCAGAAGAACAAAATTGGTCATTATTACCCCAGGTAAAACTTTAATGTTTTGTAATAATAATATCCTCTATTAATAATAAATTAAAACCAAAATCTCATTCACACATTGATGATGACTCCCAGAAGTTGAGATTGTGCAAGTGTATACATACCTGTTGTGAGCTATCGTAATATAATTTATAGAATAAATAAGAATTAATATTGATTGATTTTTTCTTTGTATAAAAAGTTGGTAAAGGAAGGAGAATAACCCATAACTTGCAGCATCATTGTGCTGAATTACGTATGAGCGTGGTCTGTGACTACTGTAACAGCTGTAGAGAGACACTTAGTTCACATCATTCCACAACATAGGCTGAAATTAACCATAGCATCGGGATCCCCACTAATCTTCGGAAAGGTGCAATGGGTCCTTCAAATTGCACACAAGTCAGATTCATACTCTTCACCTCCCATTTTTCAGTCTTTATCCGGGAAGTCTTGGTTCTACTAAGCGAACCCTGGGCGAGGAGCGGCTCAAACGATGTAAAGGCTGTAGCTAGTAGAACCTTTGCATTACTAATCAACCCGTCGCATCTGCAATATTTTTATTTTTCTCTGTGAAGAACTGTGTATAATATTCTAACTTTGATTATCAGGATGCTAAGGTGATGGACTATGTGCCAATTCCAGCAGTGGAAGATGTGAAGTCAATGGACATATCCATGGATCATGCTAAGAGCACTGTACCAATTAGTACAGGATCACAGAACAAGACAGGCACAGAGGTAAGTTGAGGAATTGAACTTTATGGTGCTCATAATATACACTTATACAGTACTCTTATAACAAACTAGTTTAATTCTAAGCTTGCAAAATTATTGTATAACATTCACTACCATACAATTGCACCTTGAATAGATTGCTTTATTTTCTGGCCACAAAATATTTTAGCCTACATCTTTTTCACTGATAATGGTAGCAATAATAATAATAATTATTATTATTATTAATGTATTTAGTGAATGAAACATTTCAGTTTTTTCTATATAATGCTAAAACTATATACATTTGCATCATTATTGTATTTGGTTCAGAAAATATTTCAGTGTTTCCTATTATAGAATGGCAAAATTTACATGTTTAGGTTGCCATATTTGACCAACTATTTAGAGATCAAAGGCTAATAATCAAACTATGCTAGCAGCTAAATAAATACTGTACATACAAAGCTTTTTTTCACAACAAAAAACAATTCTACTTCAAGTGTCTGTATTATTAATTTTTCTGAATAGAAAGCATTAAAATAATTTTTTTTGTTTTTGAATATTTTAATAGGAATGTCTTGTAGCATTCTTCAGGTGTGATGATATTGATGCTACAGTTCTCCAATTCCTCGATGAAGCCAGACAAGAGGTAAGCTAAAAACAATGATACTCTGGTTTATTACATGGTTTATCAACAATGATTCATTGATTGATTGATTGATTGATTGATTCATTCAGTATGAAAAAGTCAGGCCCAAATCATTACAGGAAAGAAGGAAAAGTCACATTGGTTGTGTTTGTATATATCTCTGTATCATTTGAGAGTAAAGTAATGTTATAATAATGAGAAAAATATTTTTTTTTTTTCAGCCATCATTTGACCTTATTCAGACAAAGGAAGTGACCATTCAGCCATCAGAAGTTGCTACCTTATTCGGACAAAATCCTAAATATGAGGATGCTTGTAAAAAAGGTAAAGTTAACAAATTGGGTGGCTGCGGTTTTCGTCATACTGGTGACTATTAGTAAGCCTGCCTGTCATTATGATCATTGGTTTCCCTCCAGGCAGGATCCAAAATATCACTAGCCAAGTTGGAAATCATTGTGTGAGGCTGAGCACTCATTACATCATACAGCAATCGTACAACAGTCGTACTACGAATCCAACTGTACTCCCTGTGAGCTTTTAATACTATGTTTACAGTCCAAAGATGAGAGCAACTTAGCTCATTCAGCTACACTGATAGAAGCTACTGTGTCTGCACTAAACTGTAGGGATCTAGGTCTCCAGTTCAATTCCCATCGCTGCCTCTCATTGTGTTTCAGCTGAAGGGCTGAAATGCAAGTTACGATAGCACATCGTCTTTCGGATGAGTCAATCACCTTGTTTTAAATGTACTGTATATTATATTTTAATCATACTGCTTATTGTAGAAGTGGACCATAGTGTAATGATCAATACGTTTCTCTGCATTTGCATTCGTTGCGAGAATGAAAATGGTTGTTGGTTGTATGCACGCTGACATTCAGAAGAAAATAAACATGTCCTCATCTGCCTTTTTACACTGGCATTACTTCAAGATACATGATGTTCAATAGTTTTAATCAGCAAAACATTTTACTTTTCAGCAAAATATTTTGATATAAATTTCTTAACAATATGGTGATCTTGTCTTGTGTTTTGCTTTAAAAAAAATCCAAATATATTTTTTAGCATATCTAACTTTTAATGGATATTCTATATAATGAATTTTTTTTGTAAGTTTCTATTTTTTATGTATACTGTATAGCAGATGTGAACATTTTAAATGGATATTGTTTGTGCTTTATAAAAAAAACAGTTATTATTATTACTATGTATCCCGAAAATAATGATGAATGTAATTTTGATGTTATAGATACTTTTAATTCTAAATTTAGCAATATTGCTTCTTCTATTAGTATTTTTCATATGAATTCTCGAAGTTTGGTTAATCATTATAATGAAATAATAGACTTCCTATGTACGCTGGATCATAATTTCTCTGCTTTATGTTTCTCTGAAACCTTTTGTAACAATAATAAAACTGTTTTTTCTTTTTACGACATACCAGGTTATTCACTCTTGCACTCTTCTAGAACCCTGAGAACGGGAGGTGGTGTTGCCATATATCTAGACCAGAATTTACAATACACAGTTCGTAATGATCTTTCTAATTTAATCTCTACAACTGCTGAATCTATTTTTATTGAAATAAAGGCCGAATATTATATTAGGAACAGTCTATAGAGTACTGGACTTATCATTCTTACTTTTAATTCTGATATATCATTTCTTCTAGATGTAATAAATAATGAAAATAAAATAACCTATATTGCCAGAGACTTTAACATTGACTTACCTAAGTATAGTACACATAAGCAATCCTCTGAGTTTCTTGGTAATATGTTTAATTATAATTTATATCCCCTAATCCATAGACCTACTCGAATTACAACTAAAACTGCCACCCTTATCGATAATATATTTACTAACAACATGCAAACTAAAATATCTCCTGGCATTCTTTACTCTGACATATCATATCTGATCACTTTCCTATCTATTCTATTATTCATTCAAAGTTATCTCATTCTCTATCTAATAATAATATAAAATACTCTATGTCTAGGAAAATAAATGATTATACAATTTCCTCTCTAAGTAATAATCTTCCTTGTACTGTTGTATTCGAATGGAAAAAAAACCTTGGATAACTAATAGCATAATAAAATCTATAGACACAAGAAACAAGTTATACAAAAGATATATTAAATCAAAAAGGGAATCTGACAAAGATAAGTATATAACTTATAGAAGCAGGTTAACCAAAATATTAAAAACTTCTCGTAAAAAATATTATAATAATAAATTCAATTCATACAAGAATAATATGTTTAAAACCTGGCAAATAATTAATAGTGTTCTTGGTCGTAACAACAAACATAAAAGTTCCTCGTCATACTTCCTACATGATGGATCAAAAATTACAGACTCCCATACTATTGCTAAAAAACTAAATGACTATTTTGTAAACATCGAACCAGATATATTGCAGCAAAAATTAATATTCAAACTAATCAACATTTCTCTTGCTTTCTTAACCCACCTCTTCTTGATTCGTTTTTTTTTATACCCACTGAATACGAAATTATAGAAATTATCCAGAGCTTAAAAATTAATAAGAGTCCTGGAAATGATGAAATATCAAACAATGTTGTCAAACGTATATCCAATCAAATCTCAAAACCTTTATGTTATATCTTTAATCTTTGCTTTGGAATTCCCTGATGCCCTAAAAATTGCCAAGGTAGTTCCTACTTATAAAAAAGGTGATCCTCATTTGTTTACTAATTACAGACCTATTTCTTTATTACCTTGTTTCGCCAAAATCCTGCGCCTAATTTACAACAGATTGCTTGGGTTTTTAGGTAAGCAAAATATTATTCATAATCGCCAATGTGGTTTTAGAAAATTCTTTTCAACTGATTTTGCAATTATTGATATATATGACAAAATTACCAAAGCCATTGGTAATAATTATTTTACAGCTGGTATTTTTCTTGATCTGAGCAAGGCCTTTGACACTATTGATCATAGAATTTTACTAAACAAACTTGAACGTTATGGTGTCAGAGGCCTTGCTCTCAATCTATTTAGAAGCTACCTTGGCAATCGACAACAATTTGTTTCAGTTGACTCTTATAATTCTCCTCTTTCTAAAATCAACTGTGGTGTTCCACAGGGGTCAATACTTGGTCCTTTATTATTTCTAATTTATATTAATGATCTCCCAAATTGTTAATAGGTTTTGTTCTGTTTGCTGATGACACAAATCTTTTCTATTGAAACAAAAACTTACTAGAACTTTTTAATATTACTAACACTGAATTAAGCAAAGTATCCAATTGGTTTAAATTAGTTATCAGTTATCATTGAACATTAATAAAACTAATTTTATTCTTTTCAATCACAAAACAAAACATAATCATGTTTTAAAAATAGATAATAATATTATTAACCAGGTCAGTGAAACAAAATTTCTCGGTGTAACATTAGATTCCAAGCTTTCCTGGCAACCTCATCGTAACAAAATTTTTAATATTATTTCTAGAAATATTGGTGTCATGAAGTTAAAAAATGATTTTCCCCCACATGTACTTTTATCATAAACATACATACCTATGCCCCTGGACAAGTCTTGAGACCACAAGTATTGATAGCATTTTTAAATTACAAAAACGTGCTCTCAGGATTTGTTCAGGGTCAAGTCGTACTACACACACTAAACCTTTATTTTATAAATATAATACACTTAATATATTTGATCTAAACAGACTACAAACCTATAATTTTATGTATCGATTTATAAGTAATACACTCCCAATCCATATTACCCTATTATTCCCAACCCAACAGTCTGAAATTCATAACTATCCAACCAGGTTTTCAAAAAACAATATTACAACAGAAAAATGTATATCAGCATTTTATAATGGACCTAAGTTATGGAACTCCCTTGACCCCTTTTTTAAATCTTTACCCAGTTTTTCTTCTTTTAAACTTAATATCAAACGATATCTGGTCTCGATGTATGGTAATTAAGCCTTCTAACTTATGTATTAAAATATAAACCAGACTACCTGTTTATGTTTTCAGTTTTTGTATTTTACTTTTTTTTTTTAATGGTGGCCACATCTTAAAGTTTTCCTTAAACTTATTGTGGTCTCCATCCACATAGATTTTTTGAATATGTTTGATCATGTATATGTTTTTTTTTTGTTCATTATGTGGAAAATAAATAAATCAATCAATCAATCAATTTTACAGGACAAGTTATTGGTGTTGAATTCTGTGGCGAAAACACAGTTCAAAATGTCCGCAAACTTGCCGAGTCATACTCAAACAAAGCAGTCATCTTCGTGTCCAGTAACACTGAAAACTCTTCAACAGATGTGGAGAACTTCTTTAATTTTGCTGACATTCAAATGTCTGTCTGAAGTTGCTGCCGTCTAAATTGACCGGAATTTTCTCATTTGAAGTGGCCGAGAATTTGAAAACACATCTTAAGTGAAATGGCCAGCTGGTCATTAGTCTCTTATGTGACTGAAGCTTCATGGTCATCTGAAGCGATTGGCTCTTTGCCACCATCTAATGCAGCTGCCATCATTGAAAAATTTGCTGATATTATATTATATGGCAATCTGAGATAGCTCGCCATTTATTATCACCTTGTTAATTGTACAGTAAGTGTAGTGGTTTTGCCGATGTGTTAAGTTAGTCATTGAATTTATGAAATTGTATATTAATTGATATCCGTCAAAGTTTAGGGTTCTGTACAGTCAGTATTTATTTCTGAGGATTTTAATATTTTCCGATGGTTTTGAATGCACGTTTTAAGTTGTATTTCAGACTTTTTCTAATGCTGTGTTTTAAGATTTTATTAGTATATTGCTAGGCCTCCAAAAGGCTGAAGATGTTTGTTGCCTCATATATTTACTTTCTTCTTAGTGGCCCTACAAGTGTCTGGCCACATTGCTTCTGTCTTTTGGCAAAGCACTTACTCTACACATGTCTCTTTCAATGGAATCATGTTCTGTATAGAAATATTTAATACCAAAGATACTAGAAACACAAGATAGAAATCTCCACAGAAGAAAAATGTATCACCAAATTGCATCGTGGTAAACTATACTAACGTAAGTTTGTTTATATCCAGTCGCACACAGCGCCTCATTAAATGAGGCAGTGCATATGCCTGGATGTGGTCTGGGTATGAACTTACGCAAATTGCCATTAGTGGACACAGATGGGCGCTGCATACGTCTAGATCTGGTCTGGATCTGTGTAAATGATATGACGTATATCCGCTTGACTTTTGCTATGCGAGAGTTGTATCTCGTGTTTTTAGTATCTTTGTTAATACTGTACTTGTTATGTCGCTGCTTACTGTATATGAATGAATGTTATTGTATCCAGAGACCAGTGGTAATAATATGCCAATTTCAAATATATGGTGCCATACAAAATCTTTTATTGGTATTGCTACATAATTATTATCATTATTGTTATTAAGTTTTTAGAATACAGTATTAGAATTGTGGATTTGATTTGATTATTCTTAAAATAATGTTTTACTTTATTTGTAAAAGCTATGTTCATTGAGGATGGTAATACCACCAGTAAAAATTGTTGTTTATTAATTTACAGTTTGTATTACACTTATTTTTTTTTCTTTTTCTTTTTGTTTCCTTCACATCCAACAGTAAGTAGGTAGTGGTTTTGGTTGTGAGAAAAATTCCTGCTCTGACAGGAATTGAACCACCAACCTTTTTAACCAAAGAATTTTTGTTGTTGTTCAGTAGTAGTTCCTTTAATACGTTAATAATTTATAAGACTGTTAGAACATTATTGACATAATAATAAGTGACGTTTATAAATAGCATCTTATGTCAGTCAACCAGCCCCAGAGCGCATAGAAATCAATCATAATTATACAATATGTAATTTACAAAAAAGGTCATTAAATATAGTACTTGCAAAGAAAACATTGTAAATATAATGAAAGCATGATTTATCATAGTTCAATATTCTTCTATTTATGCAGATATTTTTAATATTAATATATGTAATATTAACAATATTAAATAATATGGTGAGCCGTACGTCACAAAAGCTTGTGACAATACAATTTTCAACTAGTCTATAAAGTGCTACCATTTTCTTATTGTTTGATTAACAATATTGTCATTAATATTAATGACATTAATATTAAGGTCAGCGACGTGGGCGCACATGAATATGGAATAATATTCAAATTTATCTTGTCAGTTCAATAAGTGTATGCAGCTTGTAAAGTATTCAACTTATCAATGGTGATTGGTATTGATTATAGTGAAGTGCTATTTTTTATCATTATTATTATTATTATTATTATTATTATTATTATTATTGTTATTATTATTATTATCATCTCTGACACATACACAACAATGACCTAGCCTATTAAAGTACACACATTAAGTAGAAAAAATATAGATGATGTATTAAAATGGTCAGTTGTTGATGATAATGTTTTAAATAGGATCCTCGAAAGTGTCTTTCAAATTTGCTTAACACAAGGTTTTGTACATTTCCCCTCCTTTCCCTATAATACCAATGGTTGTTTTTTTCTGTCAGCTTTGTTTAAGAGATACCGTCTGTCATGAGCTATAAAAAAAATGCAAATTCACTTCCATATTTACATTGCTTAATTTCTATTTTGAAGTGAAGTTATTAATTTACAATTACAAATTTAGATGAGAAAAAAACCGTTCTATGACAATGAAAACTAAATAAAAGCTTTCCGGTATTCTTTTACATATGAATTGACTGGTATAATCTGGGATAGTTGTAGTATAATGTCTGTAATTATATCAATGAAAAATATATTTCTTTGTTAATCTGTTCCTGGATTCAACATTTTTATTGCACATTTGAGTTGTCTAACTTTTATTTTATATTTTTTGGCAGGCAATTTATCTTTATACTTTTTAATTGTGTAAAATATTTCAGTATGGCTCAACAACCACTTGATAAAAAAAAATGTATTTAAAAATTGTGTAATTCTATATAAATTGATGTACTTTCAATTTTGTAAATGAATGTATCATTGTTACTCAATAAATGTTTAAATCCTTGATTCATATATCCACATTTTATTTATTTTTGCAATAAAAAACACCAGATTAACATTAAGGTGATAAATACGTACAGCAATACCGAGCGAGGAAATATTTGAACGAATTATTGTGCTAGAATGTGGTTATGATCAAATATATAATCCAATTGCATTAAGATATACTGTAATTAATAATGTTAAT